TGATAGGAGCCAACCTAATGAGTATGAGGTGATATACTGTTGAATTTGAGAGTTCTTTGTTTTAGATTCTAGTTCTTTATCAGATATGTGATTTGCAAATATTTTCTCCCACTATGTAGCTTACCTTTTTATCTTCTTAACATGGTTCTTTTCAGAGAAAATTTAATAATCTCAATGAAATTCAGTTTATTTATTCTTTCTCTCATGGATCATGTTTTTGGTTTCATGTCTAAGAACTTTTCACCAAGCCCTACATCTAGAATTCTTTCTCCTATGTTTTCTTCTAAAAATTTTTATAGTTTCATGTTTCAGATTGAAGTCTATGATACATTTGGGTTCATTTTTATATAAGGTGTTCTGTTTAGGTCAAGGTTAATTTTTTTGCCTGTGGATATCCAATTGCTCCAACATCATTTATTGAAAAGATTACCGTATTCATTTCTTTAGCTGATTAAGATGGTGAATTACATTGCTTGATTTTCAAATACTGAACCCATCTTGCATCCTTGGAATAAACTCTACCTGATTGTGGAACATAATTCTTTCTATATATTGCTTCACGTATTTTGTAGCTCTTAGTTTGGTGCATGCAGGTTTAGGATTATTATGTCTTGTTGGTGAATTGACCCTTTTATCATTATATGAAATACATCTCTGTCTCTGGTAATTTTTTACTCTAAGTATACTTTATCTGATATTAACACAACCATTTCTGCTTCCTTTTGATTAATGTTTACATGATATATCTTTTCCTGTCCTTTCATTTTCATCCTGCTTGTATTGTTATTTTAAGTGAATTTCTTGTTGACATCATAGAGTTAGGTCATTAAAAAAATCAGTCTGCCAATCTCTATCTTTTACTTGGTGTATTTAGATAATTCACATTTAATGTAATTATTAATATATTAGGGCTTAAGTCTGCCTTTTTTGTTTTCTGTTTTTTAAAAAAATTTCCTTATTTTCTTTTTCCTGCCATCCTGTGGATTGCTTGAACACTTTTTAGAATTCATTTTGAATTATCTATACTATTTTGAATATATCTGTTTGTATAAGTTTTTTTAAGTGGTTGCCCTAGGTATTACCTTGTATATACACAACTTACCACAATCTACTGATGTCAATATTTGTCAGTTTGAGTGATGTGTAAGAAACCTTACCTTCCTTTGTATACCTTTATTCTCAGCCATTTATAATGTAATTGTCTTAAATACTTCCTTACATACAAGGAGAACCAAATCAGACGGTATGATAATTTTTGCTTCACCATCAAATATAATTCAGAAAACTGAAGAGAAGTAATTCTATTTTATTTGCGTATATTTTGCTCTTACCATTGCTCTTTCTTCTTTCCTGATGTTCTAAGGTTCCTTATTTTATCATTTCTTTTCTGTACTCCCTTATTGTTTATGTTCAAGTTTAGGTTCCTTTAGCTATTCTTTTAGGGTACAACTATGGTTACAAATGCTCTTAGTTTTCTTTCATCTAATATCTTGACCTCTTTTTCATTTCTGAAAGGTGTTTTTGCTGGATATAGGTTTTTAGTTTGACAGTTCTTTAATTTTAGCCTTTGAAAAATGGTATACCACTTCCTTCTGGCATCCATGGTTTCTGATGAGAAATCACTGTCATTCAATTTCTCCACTATATGAAATCATTGTCAGATAATCCTAACATGTATAGGTATTGTTTTTCTCTGCTTCCACGATTTTTATTTTTTGTCTTTAGCTTACAGAAATTTAACTATGATGTGTCTTGCTGTGGATTTCTTTGGGTTCATCCTGTTTGGGGTTGCAGCTTCTTAAATTTGTAGGTTTGTGTCTTTTGCCAAAGTCAGGATATTTTTAGCTATTATTTCTTTGAACATTTTTTCAGCCTGCTATCTTTTTTCTCTCCTTCTTGGACTCTGATGATATTAATAAAATTAAAGTTCCACAGTCCGCTGAGGTTCTGTTCATTTTTTTTCAGTCTATTTTCTCTGTTGTTCAGATCTGGTAATTTCTATTATTCTGCAAGTTCACAGACTCTTTCCTCTGTCCTTTCCATCCCACTTTTGAGCCAATCCATTGAATTAAAAAATCTTAGCTATTGTATTTTTTAGTTCTAAAATTTCCATTTTGTTCTTCTTTATGTACTCTATTTTTTGCTGATTTTTTTTAAAAAACCTTTGTTTCAAATGTGTTTATAATTGTTTGTTGAAACATTTTTATCATGGATGCTATAAAATCATTGTCAGATAATCCTAACATCTGTGTGTTAGTATTTGTTGATTGTCTTTCTCATTCAAGTTGAGATTTTCCTGGTTGTTAGTATGATGAGTGATTTTTTATTGAAACCTGAACATTTTGGGTATATTGTTATGAGATTCTGGATCTTACATTAATCACCTATTTTAGCAGGCCTCATCTGAATAGCACTGGTGGGGAAAGGGGAGTGCTGTACTGTTACTGTCAGGTAGAGACTGAAGTTCAGGTTCCCCATTCAACCCTCATTGACACCATAGTGGAGGAAGGACTACTTTTTATCACGGGGTCAGGGGTAGGAGTTCAGTCTCCCCACTAGGCCTTCACTGATGTAATCTAGGCTGGAAGAGGCAAAGGTGCCTTGTTTCTGCTCCTCACATGGCCTTTGCTAACATGACAGGGGTGCTGGTGCTGGTAGTGGTGGTGGTGGTTAGAGAGGCCTCATTAACTCTGGATGGTGGTGAAAGTCCTGACTTTTCACTAGGTCTTTCCTGACACAACCTCAGTAGGTAGGGGGAGGATCACCTTGGTACTACTGGGTGGGTGTAGAAGTCTAGGCTTCCCATGTTAACTCTACTGATACAACATAGGAAAGCCTCATTACACTTAGGGGGAGTGACTGTCCCAGTTTTCCACTTGGCTTTTTCCGACACCACTTGGAGGGTGATGGGAGAGGGTTGAGTACCTCATTATAGCACGGTGAAGATGGAAGGCTAGGCTCCCCACTCAGCTTTGTTGGTGTGGGTGGGGATGGGCCGTAGTTATTCTTTGATGTGTGGTTGGAGTAGAGCAGCTATTCTCTAGAAGTTCTCTGTTTTGCTAAGCTGTCCTTTTCTGGTCCTTTGTCTAGAGAGAGCAGACTTTTCTCAAGACTTTTTGTTTTCTGCTTCAGTTGACATTTCTAGGTTTCCAGCTTTTCTAGCACCCAGTAGGATATATGAAGCAAAAAGAAAATCCAGGCAGCTGACTTGAGTCATTCCTAGGGTCCTGAAGTCTCCAGCAAGTCTGTCTTCTTCTCTCACCTTGCAGTCTTATGTGTTTCATATATGTAATATCTAGGATTTCAGCTACGCTTAGCAGGAAGAATAGAGAAAAGTGTGTCTACAATATCTTTATGGAAGCAGAAGTTGAGTCTCACTTACTAAGATAATGACCCATGGAAGAAAGGAAGAAAGAAAAAAACAACAGATCAAGCTCTTTTGCAGATGCTGGGGCACTTGGATTATTTTTCCCTAAGGCTACATCAACAGATTGGAGAGCAATTGCCTGAAGTTCTGGGTGTCCCCATAATTAAGACCAGTCCTTGGTGGGATTGTTGATAGTGTACCTCCATGGTTTGGCCTTAAAGATTTTATTTGAGTGTGTTTAACCTTGATAAAAGAAACTTGCTAAATAAGCCAGTTTGTGAGTCACTTTATCATTAAGGTGAACAATAAATTCCTTCAACTCGTCAATATTTTCACACTAGGCTTTGACATCTCAGAAATGCTTGTCAGAAACTCTCCTTGCAAAGCCGATGTATATTAGTGAGGTAGAACAAGCATTTCAAGGGACTTGTCGTAAGATAAGTATTCAAATAATCCTTTATTACAAAATTCACCCATTTTATCCCCCCATTGAGACCACTAAGCGACTCAAGAGGAAGACCCTTTGAGGTGACGCTGTAAGGTAATTGAGGCAATGGTTCTGGCTCACGTAGGATGTGCCCGAACCTGCTCCTGCCTCTGCTGCAGTTGTGCCTGTCAGAATTTTACCTCCATCTGTTCACTTTCTCCAGCTGATAATATGGCTTACTCAGGAACTCATATTATCTTGTTGAGATTTTCTTAGCCAGTTATTTCACCATTAAGAAATTTGCATTCAACATCTTACAGGCATTATCGTTACAAACACAGTGAACAAAGACCAAGAAAATGCCCTAAACATCAACATCTGCTCAGTCACACGACTGTAAGGTAAAGAACCCACTTAACCTTAGTCTCCCAACTGCTCATTCAAACATGCCTTTTGAACACATTAAAATGTATTATCTTATGGTTCAGTCTATAAGAGCATTTTTTTTTTTTGTAGCTTGGCTGCCCCTTTTGACCCAGAACATTCAGCTATAACTACAGTTAGTCATATAATTAGACCATAGTTTGGTCCCTCATTTTTATCCTTCTGCTCCATTATGTGGGATTTTCATTCCAAGGTGATTTTTTAAACAATTGTGGTAAAACATACATAATGTAAAACTCAGCATATTAGCTATTTTTAAGTGTACAGTTCATGGCATTAAGTATGTTCATATCGTTATGCAACCATTACCCTCCATTTCCAGAACCTTTCATCTTCCTTAATTAAAAATCCATGCTCAATTAAACAGTAACTCTCTACTCCTCTTTCCCCCAAGCCCTAGTAACCACCATTCCTTCTGTCTCTGTGATTTTTGACTACCCCCAGGGCATCATATCAGTAGAATCATGTATTATTTGTCCTTTTGTATCTGGCTTATTTCACTTAGCATAATGTCATCAAGATTCATCCATGTCATAGCATATGACAGAATTTCCTTCCTTTTTACTGAGCTCCTTTTTAAGGCTGAAGAAAATATTCCACTTCATGAAAATACCATATTTTGTTTATCCATTCATCCATTGATGGAGACTTAGGTTGCTTCTACCTTCTGACTATTGTGAATAATACTTCTATGAACATGGTATGCAAATATCTCTTTGATATTTGAGGAAGCTCTATACTGGTTTTCACAAAAACTGCACCAAAAATATGGAAAATTTCACAAATTTGCATGTCATCCTTGCTCAGGGGACATGCTTATCTTCTGTATACTGTTCCAATTTTAGTATATTTGCTGTTGAAGCATGCACCCAAGGTGATTTCAAACTGAACTTGAAGGAGACTTTAGACACTTCTATTTGATTGTTTGTGTTTTTTCACTGTACTTTTTTCAAGTTGCAAAATACTTCTCCTTTTTTCAAGTTGCAAAAAATCTTTCAATTAAATCCATTAATTAATTATTAAAAATGTACCTTATGAATTTATTAATCGTTATTTTAAAATAATATACCCACATTTAAAAGATGAAATACCATAGAAAAAATTTTTTAAAGGGCAATAAATCATCCCAAATCCTGCCATCCTGAAATAAATATTGTTAATATTTTGGACACTATTCCAACCATTTCTCTGTTCATATTTAGATACAGAAAAATGGATTGATAGAAATAACTTTATAAGATGGGGTTATAGTATACATACTATTATACAATTAAAAGTTAAAATTCATTTTACTTTAATTCAGCAGTTAGAAAAAAACTGAAGTGAAAGTGAAAATATGCTGAACTTCAGATAAATATTTCCTCACTCCAAGATATACAAGTTCCTAAAGTGCCTTCTAGGTTAAAAACAATGTGGTTACTACATTTATGCATATTATCAAGTCCCCACTCATACCGCAGTGCAGTCACTGTCCATCAGAACAGAGCACCTTTTTAAAGGAAGGACCCACAGGTGGCATTTTCTTTGTTAGGGAATGTCTGCTGGTTGCCTTTATATGTAAAGAATAATTTGGCTGGGTATAATATTCTTAGACAGTATGTTGTTTCCCTCAGATTTTTTTTTTTTGTATTGAAGTTGCTAATAGAGAAGTCCGAGATGATTAGTTTTCTCTGTCTGAATGCCTGAGAGTTATTTCTTTGCCCTTGAAGCTCAGTACTTTAACTAGGCTGTGTCTCTGGATATTCTGTAACAGTTTTTTCCCCCTGTATTAGGTCCTTATGTCAGGGACAAAAATCATTCTTCTTTGACCTCTTTTTGCTCTAACCTCTTTGTGTTTATCCTAGGATGATTGTTTCTCTAAGTCATTAACTAAATTTTAAGCCCTATTCATTCTTTCTGATTTATTTGTTAGACCTCATATGTTGTTGTTTTGGTTCTTGATTTGTTTCCTTAGCTCCTTAAATTTTCCCTTTTCATTCAATTATTCTATTTCATCTCCTGTCTTTGAGCTCTTGTCCTACTGATTCATACCTTTATTAAGATCTCCTATAGCACTCCTCACTGATGGGAAATTTGCTTTTATTTCTTGAGTTATACTTTTTCCATGTTGAAATCTTTGTCTGACTTTTGCTTATTTTGTCATGATATTTAATATTTTACTATCATCTTTACTTTCTCCTCTCTCTTTCTCTTTTCTGACTCTTCCCTCTATTCCTCCTCTCTTTCCTGCTCCCTTTTCTTCTTTTTTATTTGGTATCATGTTTGGTGCCTGCACCATGTATTGGTGTGTTCTTGATTAATGTGGACTGTTACAGAGTTTCTATTTTCTCTAACACAGTGAGGGTGAATTCTGATTGATAACTTTATGAAGCAGACCTGGCAAATGAACTGTACACTAATGACCAACCTCCTAGGGATAGCACTATTTCACTGTTTACTTTGATATCACAGTTGTATACCTAGCACAGCTTCACAGTTAGCTCCAGAATTAGCAGCACTGTTATACAGATTACTTAACTTGGGATATGATAGTGGGACAACATGAAGGAGATGTTCTAGTGCAGTTCCTCTGTCAGCCTAGGTGCCAGGGGCTGCACTGGCCAATGACTGCAAAGGCAAGATACCTATGGAGTCCTTGCTAGGACTCAGCAGCCTCAGAACTTTGAGGAGCCTCTGGTTAGTTTCCATCCAGGTACCACTTGGACCCCCAGTTGACACCAATTTAGCTAACAGGACATGCACCAATATTTAACCCAATATGATATGCATTTATATCTTTGGATGATTGCTCTTTCGAGGCTCATCTTGGACATCCTTTCCATATGAACTCCTGCTATATTCATCTTAACTAGGACCAATTTATCTCTCCCTCTTCGGGTTTCAGTTTGGAGACTGGTTTGGCTCTCTCTTCTAGTATAACAAACTGCACCCCCCAAAACAAGCATTTTATTTTATCTAATGATTTTATGGGCCAGAAGGTCAGGCAGGTCTTGGCTGTGTGCTTCTTTTGTATGTGGCTTTGATTGGGGTCATTCAATTGTATTCAGCTATTGGTTGGTCTAGTCTGGAGGGGTCAAGATGGCCTCATTTACATGTCTGGTGTCTTAGTGGGAAGGCTGGAAACTGGGCCCAGCCTCTCCCTCTTATAATCTCAGGGCCTTCTGATATAGTTTCTCCAAGCTGGATATTTGGACTTCTTACATGGCGGCTCAGAGCTACAAGAATAATTATTCCAGGAAGCAGAAAGTAGAAATTACCAGTCTCTTAAGGCCTAGACCTGGAAATTGGCACAGATCACTTCCAAATTGTTCTATAGGTCAGATCCATTGCAGTTCTCACCCAAATTTGAGAGGAGGGACATAGACCCTACTTCTCAATTAGGGGAGTATTAGAGAATCAGTAGCTATGGTCTCTCCTTTAAACTCTTGGTCTACTTTTCCTTATTATGAGGGTTCTATAGGTGGAGGATCAGAGCTCTGCTGCTTTACATAGTCCTAAGGGGAGCCTGGGTCTGCTCCCCACTAAGGTATCATTGCATGCTCTGTACCAGTATCCACTCTATGTGGTCTGGGAGGTGTCCATCTCTCATAGGCTTTGGGCATCTTCCTCCAACTCAGCAAAGGGCCCTCCTCAGTGACAAGCCCAACAACACTTCCTTCCTGAGTCCTGCTATGGTGGGATATAGGAAGTTCCACTCTTGAGGGTAAAAACAATGTTTTCTTTGACTTCCCACTCCAAATCTCAGTTTTAGTCCTTCCTGATGGGAGCATGCTAGAGAGACTTATGACATGTGATTTTGTTACCTTGGTTTCCTTGCTCAGTCCTGCCTCTGGGCAGTGGGGACAGAGTTAGTGACTGTGCCCTATTATTTTGCACCAGAATCTGTTTTTTTTTCCTTACTATTTTTTGAAGCTTGTCCGGGATCAAGTGTCCTTTTATTGTTTGATTGTTTCTAGTGAAGTTTTATTTGCTTTTGTGGAAAAGAATACTTTTTTCTATTTCATTGTTAAAGAGGTAGATTGTGCCACCGTTCTCTATTCCTTCTTTTCTGGACATCATAGCTTGAGCTTTTATTTTATTTATTTTGAAATAGTTACAAATTCACAGGAAGTTGCAAAAATAGTATATAAAGATAATTCTATGTAAGTTTTACCCAGTTTCTCCCAAAGATAGTATCTTACATAACTATATGCAGTTCAATATCAAAGCCAGGAAATTGACACTAGTACAATCCATAGACCTTATTCAGATTTCATTAGTTTTACTGCCTTCACTTATATCTATTGGTATGTGTGTGTGTGTGTGTGCATGCATGCAAATGTGTATTTAATTCTATGCAATTTTATCATGTATATATATTATTCATATAACCACAACTGCAGTCATGATACAGAACTGTTCCATCACCACAAAGATCCCTTGTGCTATCCTTTTATGTTCATTTCAACTGCCCTGTCCCACCTCTTTCCCATCCCTAACCCCTGGCAATCATTAATCTGTTCTCCATCTCTAAAATTTCTTTATTTGAGAATTTTGTGTAAATGGAATCATATACTATTTGACCTTTTATGATTTGTTTTTCTTCCCACTCATCATAATGCCCTCAATATCCATCCAGCTTGTTTTGTGTATTGATAATCCAGGAAACAGGATAAAATCTAAGAAAAAAAATTCCAAGATGATGGACATCAGACTCCTGATTGAAAAGGCTCATGTTATAAAGGGATGCATCATAATGAGAGAAAAAGACCCACATCAAGGCACATTATAGAGAGGTTTTAGAACCTGGGATTAGGAGGTCCCTTAAAAGCTTCTAATGCAAAGGAAGTCATACACTAAAGACAAGAATCAGAATAACATTTCACTTCTCAATAACAACGTTGGACACAAGAAAGCAACTGAATAATAGCATAAAAAATCTTATGGAATATAATTTTCAACTGGGAATTTTATACCCCACCAAGTTATCAGTCCAGTGTGAGGGAAGAATTAAGATACCTTCACCCATCCATAGACAATTTGCCTGCTTGAAACGCTTTCATAGGATGCATTGAAAAAATGTTCTAAAAAATCCTGATTAATTCAAAAGAGGGGAACTCATGAGATCCAGGAAATAGAGAATTCAACTCAGGAAAGCACTAAAGAGAAGGCACAGATTGACAGCCGAGAGGGCTACCAGCCTGGAGTGGAGGAGGAGGTTGGAGATGAGTGTGTGGAAGGGAATAATGATATGCATATGAAAAATTTTGCAAGTGAAAATAAAAATTAATTTTTAAAAATCACCAAAAAGCCTGTACATGAAAGGATATATTATCATACACTGCTCAGTTCTGCAGTGAAAGAGTATTAGAGAATCAGTAGCTATGGTCTCTCCTTTAAACTCTTGGTCTACTTTTCCTTATTATGAGGGTTCTATAGGTGGAGGATCAGAGCTCTGCTGCTTTACATAGTCCTAAGGGGAGCCTGGGTCTGCTCCCCACTAAGGTATCATTGCATGCTCTGTACCAGTATCCACTCTATGTGGTCTGGGAGGTGTCCATCTCTCATAGGCTTTGGGCATCTTCCTCCAACTCAGCAAAGGGCCCTCCTCAGTGACAAGCCCAACAACACTTCCTTCCTGAGTCCTGCTATGGTGGGATATAGGAAGTTCCACTCTTGAGGGTAAAAACAATGTTTTCTTTGACTTCCCACTCCAAATCTCAGTTTTAGTCCTTCCTGATGGGAGCATGCTAGAGAGACTTATGACATGTGATTTTGTTACCTTGGTTTCCTTGCTCAGTCCTGCCTCTGGGCAGTGGGGACAGAGTTAGTGACTGTGCCCTATTATTTTGCACCAGAATCTGTTTTTTTTTTCCTTACTATTTT